ATTCTTGTCTTTTGTTCGTTGGAGCCTATTATTCTGTGGAGTTGGCTTTGGTCAGTTGGTCGGTCGGTCGGTCAGCTGGTCGTCCACTAGAGGTTGGTGGTCGACCAATCAGCTGGTCGTCCACTGAAGAGTCTTAGTCGGCGGTTGGTCGGTCATTTATTAGAGAGTGGTGCTCGGTGGGCTTGAACTTGTAGACATTTTTTGTCATTCAGTACCGTTTAAACTGAATTAAATTTTGATTCGATTGGTTTGATTTTCTTCTGTAAAATATTTTTACTATTTGCTAATAATTTTTGTGGGTACAAAAAGATATATTATTGTAGCTCTTTATACAATTGCAATAAACCACCTTATCTAAGAAAAGATTGACTTTTTTTGTTCTTTTATTAATGAGAATATTTTCTCTAAATATAACTAATGTCTAAGTTGTTGCATCTGATTGGATAAGTAGGCATCTGTCTTATTTATGGACCATTTGATCTCCTCAAAATTAGTACTCACACAATTTGTTATGCACAACGGTAATTATTTTTTAAAAACATGCAAACATATATATTTTTTTAAGATAAATAACTCATTTCTTATATATTTCTCAAAATAGCTTAAAAAAAACCCATTTTTATTGCTTTCATAATATATATTTTAAAGAAATGAGCATCAAATAATTAATTATTCAGAGAACGAATAATTAATTAGTTAAAAAATAAAGTTTAATGATATTTATCAGAAAAAGAATATCAATTATCGTAAATTCGCTCTAAGGTGGGCAAAATGGTAATTTCCGGCCTTTCTATCCGTATAAAATCGGGCAGCGCAGGCACGAACTTCCGATAGGAGCACAATGGCGCTCCGCAGAGCTCGAGCCCTTAACTTCCTCGATTTGGCTAAGCTCTATCCTTCTTCATCCCATCTCCTCCGCTCCGCCGCCTTGCCGGATCAATCCCCCTCCCTCCCCTGCAGGATTCTCCCCCGCCGGCCGATTTTCCGGCAGGCGATTCCTCCGGTAATTCGCTTACCTCCGCCGATCGGAGCCGAACTCATCAACAAGATCCGGGAACTCGACGCCGATCGAATCCGTCTAAACCTTATCTCGCAGCCACCGCCCTCCGACGTGACGAAGATGTTCATGGCTTCCCTGACGGAGGCTGTGAAATCTCGGCTGAGCGCGATTCCTCGGAGCGCCATTTCTTACTCCGAATTCCTCTGCATCTGCAGGGAAGAAACTGAGGCCGACGAAATCGCGGCCGCGATCGCTCGCTCTCTCGAAGAATCAGGGGCTGTTATCACCATGGGGAATCTCGTCTTTCTCCATCCCGGCGAGGTAACAACACTACAACTAGCCCTAGCAACGATTTCAATTCAATTTTCCCGCCAAATTTCAAATTCCGATCAGTTTTCGTCTCTTCCATGCAGATGGTGAGAGATATCGGGAGGGTAATGGCACCCCCACCGCGCGCCAATTATGAACGGAGCATGAAGGAGCTGAAGGAAATGGAGGGGAAGAAGGCGGAGATCGACAGGAAGCCCGCCGCCAGCGTGCGGCGGGAGCTCTGGTGCGGGCTAGGATTTCTATTGCTTCAGACGCTGGGATTCTTCCGGCTTACATTCTGGGAGCTCTCCTGGGATGTAATGGAGCCGGTTTGCTTCTACGTAACTTCGAGCTATTTCATGGCGGGCTATAGCTTCTTCCTGAAGACATCCAAAGAGCCGTCTTTTGAAGGATTTTTCGAAATTCGATTTGCCGCGAAACAGGGGAGATTGTTGCGGGATTCAAATTTTGATTTGAGAAGGTTTGATGAGCTTAAACGGCAAGTCAGCTTCTTTCCACATCAGCGGGTGCTGTAGAGAAGGGATAGAGAAGAATCTACGGAGGGAGAATTCCAAAAAAGAAAATTTTGACGATTTTATGTAAGACCGTTCAACCTGCATGGCAGAGCATGAATAATTATAAATTTAATTAACCATTTTGTTGCATCAGAGGTATTTCTGCAATTTAAGATTTTGAATGGGATTGCAATTGAATAAAGTTATATGTTTTTTGCTGAATGAAGCATAAAATTATGTAATCCTCTTTATTAAATGATATTTCTATTTATAGATGATTTAGTACAGTATTAATATTATATTTTTACTCGTATTACGAGAGGTTATGTAATTGGATATTTTTTGTATCGCATCGCACTACGTCGGGTAGACTCGTTGAGCTTGTTCAGTACGGTTTAGTCGGCTGATCGGAGCTGTTAAGAACTTTTTGGATCTTAGTTTAATGGTCGAAGGTACTTTATGGAACTGGCTCCTCTATTATGTGAGATCTACTGCGGGAATGAGCTGTTGCATCATGTTGGCTTTCCTAGAGTTGACGGCCTGAACTGTCTCTTGCCTCGTTTTTCGGTGGAATGGTTTATACTCAAATCATTGAGATGCTTTCCTGCTTGTTCTTTGGCTCAGTTGGTTTTGATCGAGTTGAATTGACTCTTTTTGTTTGGTGGGACTCACGTTCTCTTTGTTGGGGATCTCTTTCCATCTTATTAGATCATTGTAAGATCAACACAGACATAGATAATGTTCTATTCATATATATATATATGGGCGC